GCCTGCCCAGGCTATGGCAGGTCTGGCTCCCCCGCACTAGTGCCTGAGGGTCCTGAAGGCCCCACTGAAATGCAGCCTCCTCCAGGAGGTGTATTACCTTAGCCGGAGGGATGGCTAGGAGGCTGTTCCAGCCAGCAAAGAAGTAAGGACCTTGGTCACATTCTGCCTTTGGTAGTGGTAATGGTACAACTTTGTAAATTTACTAAAAGTATTGAATTATTCAGCCACTTATAAATGGCTGCATTTTATTGTATGTTAACTATATCAGTAAATCAGTAAAAAAAAAAAAAAATTAAAAAAAATTCTGTCTTTTGTCTCAAGGCCCTGCACTGTTAAGACCCTGCCAACCTCACAGCCACACCTCGCACCCACTTCTCCATTTCTTAGGAACCCTTTCAGGCTTGTGTCCCCCTGGTAACCTCTCCTTATCCTTAACTCACAGGCTAGTGGCCCCTTCCTCCAAGAAGGCCCTTCATTCCATCCCCATTTGGTTCCTCTTCCTGCTCTAGTTTCACATTGGGTGGCCCAGCTCCCTGCACTTCTCCACAAGGTCTGTTAGTAGCACAGGCTATGGGGCTGCTCTTGGGCAGGTTGTGGGGGCTATGTGAAACTGAACATCTAGAACATCCCACTGGGCCACCTGTGTGCCAGAGAGCCCACCCTTCAGGTTCTTTGTCTTATGATCCTCTATCCCCACCACCTGTCTCTGTTCTTCCCCATGCCCCCCATGCAGACAGTACCATCCCACCCTATAGTGCCGCAGTGCCTCACCCCCTGCTGTCTGGCTTGAGAGGCTGAAGACAGAGCCCTTCTGGGGGTGAATGCTGGCTCCTCTGGGGCTGAAGATGGGATGAAGGCATAGCTACCACTTCTGGTGACCTCATTGTCAGCTGGCATTATGATGTCACTGGCCCAGCTTCTGGGTTCCTGCCTGGGTATTTCCAAGCCCCCCAGGTGGGGGTACTCCCCTGGGGTCTGTGACAGCTCGCCCCCTGACCACGTAAAGGTGACAGGCACGGTAACAACTCTGGGGGGTTGGAGGCAGTCTCAGGGTAGATGGGTCACCTTGCTCTGGGCTACTCCGTCAGTTACCCAGGTGAGGAAAGGCATTCACCAGAGCAGGGGGTCAGCTGACGCTTGAGCTCTGGGTTCAAGTTCTGCCCCAAACAGCACCAGTTGTTTGACCTTGTCCTGACAGCTCGAACCTCTCTGAGTCTTCATTTCCTCATCTCTAAAATTGGTTAATAGTTCCTATTTCCCAGGTTTGGGGGAGGAGTCAAGGCGGGAGAGAAGAATATGAAGCGTGAGAGCACGGGGCCTGGGACACAGTAGGTGCTCAATAAATGCTGGCTGATAGGGTTAGTTAGTTAAGGGAGCCTGAGTGTCATTTGGGGCAGAGTCCACGCCTTCTGGGGCTGACCACAGTCTGGGGTAGAGGCAGGGGGTGGCCCCAGCTTTGGCTCTCCCTCTCTTAGCCCAACCGGTAAACTTGAACCTACAAAAAGTTGGGCCCCATGGCCTTCCCTGAGACCTTGGGCCAGAGTGGGCTGGGACCCTAAGGAGGTGGGTCTCATCTGGTCTCCCCCAAGACTCTCCCTCTGCCTTCCTCTCCTGTGGGTATGTCCTGTTGCTTTCTCTTGGTCCCTAGGTCCCTGAGTCTGGGATTCTCTCCTCAGGGGCTCTGTTTCCATGTCTCTTGGACCCGGGTTGGTGCCCTAGGTCCCTCTGAGTCTTGCCCCCCAGACTCTGCTTCCCATGATGCTGTGTCCTCTAGCCTTGACCCTTTGCCCTGTCCTCTCCAAGTCCCCCTTTCTCTGACCCACCCCTCGGGTTCTCTGTCTCATAATCCTCTGTCCCCACCACCTGTCTCTGTTCTTCTTCCCCCATGTCCCCCTTTGCCCCCCAGTTCTGTAAGACTGGTTCCCCCCCCCCAGCCCC